AATTTATAGAGTCAAGTCACAACAGAAGTCATCTCAGGACACTGAACATTCCCAAAATAAATAAACTGAATAAATATTCCCATACATAAACTGAACAGAAGTGAATTGTTAAAGTGTTCCCATTAAAGCATGTGTTAGGTTTCTGTAGAACGAAGACCAACTCTTTCACAACCACAACTTAAAGGGAAGTTGTGTAAACACACCTACTATTTGTGCTTCACATTTTTATAAAGTGCTTGTAAAGAACACTTGGTTTTTTTTTTTTTGTTTGTTAGTTTTTTTTGTTTTAGGCTTTACATTCAGATGGTTAGATTTACATAAGGGCTAATCAATTAGGTGTGATTGTGACAATAAATATAAAGGAATAATTTGTCTTGATGAAGTGTAGATATGCATATGTGAGGATATATAAACAAGTGTGTGTGTGTGTTTGCTTTTCTATAAAATGGGGACCTTGACCCTTAAAACAACTTACAGGGACCGTATGTAAACATAAGGACCTAATTTTTGCTTTTATGCTTACAATGGAGTTTAAAGTTTAAAAATTAATTTACAGGTAAACTATTTTAGATTTAGATTAGGAACAGGCTTTTAGATGTTACTGGGAATATTAGGAAAATGAAATATCGCCATGCATAATTTCTTCATACAATAGTGTATAGCTAAGTGTGTTATAAATGTTGCTTTTTAATAGTTTGTGGTGGCATTAGTCATTTTGTTGCACGTACTGAGAACTCTATATTTGAATACAAGCATGCATCTCCTTATTGTCTGCTCAGTTACAAGTTGTTTTACAGGGATTATTAAATAATCTAATGTTTTGTTCTACAAAGTAATTCTACTAGATTTTTATTGCCAGGAGCAAATTTTGTTAGTTACATATAATATAATATAATTTTTTTTTTTTTTTTGGGGGGGGGGGGGGGTTGCTGTGTAATGAGGCTTTATTCTGATAAGTGTACCTCTTACATTTCTGAGCTCGCATGTGTGTGTGTGTGTGTGTGTGTGTGTGTGTGTTTGTGTCACTCAATAGTAAAAGTGAGGTCTCCAAACAAGAACTGTGTTTTTAGGGAACCTTTTAATGCACAGAACTTTCTTTTTGACCTTTTGTGTTTTTCCATCCTCATGCTGCGAATGGACACTAATAAGGTCCCAAACGCTGAAGACACCAAAAAGTGGAAGGTGTGATGGGCTGCACACTCCGTTATGTCTTCTCTGTGGATCTCATTAGTTTGTGTTACCTGTCCTCCATTCGCCTGCGTTCTGCTGGTTGTCACTGCTTCACTGTGCATCCTACTTTGTTTCATGAGTGTTCTTTCTTCTACTCTACTGTATCAAATACGGGTCGCTGAATCCCCATGTGAACATTTTTCAGATTTTTCTCTGAGTTTTACGGAAATATAAAATCAATACCTCCACCCCACCCATGACCTGATTGATTATAAGCTGAAAAGACTCCAACTGTCAGTCGATCCTCTGAGGCCTGCCAGTATCTTGACTCCTGCGGCTGCAGAATATAAATGACCATCTGTTTGTAGCTCAGTGCTCCCAGGGGTGCAAACGGACCTCATCAGTGTTTAAAGGTCAAACATTGGGGCTGCAGATTTCCAACAGCACAAAACATTTCCTAACCACAGGAGCTACCAAACCAAAGTGACTTCTGACATCATCAAAGGGGGACGCATCCTCAGTGATGTTTGTGAATGGTTGTGTATTTCAAACTGTTACATCATTGTCTGAAAGTCAGCATGACGATTAATAATACTGTTTTGTGTCTGTGTTTCTGGCTGTGCTTACAAACTTATTGATGTTGAGAAAATACAAAAATTGTTAATGAGCTGAAATTATTGTGTTAACTATGTGTGTGTTCTCTGTTTTACAGGATGATTGCATCCCCTACCCACGGATAGAAGATGTGAGTCATTTCTAAAGCACACACTCACACCTTAGTGATTATAAGGCTTCAGCCAGATGTGTTTCAAACAATAAAAGACAGCAATATAGTTTGAATATCCAATTGATCTAAACCACATTATACAGTATTCTGTTACATTAGAATTCCTTGCATTTTTCTTATCCAACATTCACGCACAAGGTTCTGGAGAAAGGTGGTCCATATCCCCAGGTAATTCTGCCCCAATTTGGGGGTTACTGGATTGAAGATGCAGAGGCACCAGCAGGGACCCCTTCCTCTTCAGAGTCCAGTTTCTGTGAAGAGGAAGAAGGTGACAAGGGCATGAGTCCTGGCGGGGCACACAGCTACCGCCTGGAGTGTAACAGCACAGCTCGAGCCTACCGCAAACACTTCCTGGGAAAGGTTAGCATGAGAACACGCGTGTATGTGTGTCTGTCTGTTATTGTCTTTGACTTTAAATGCCTCCTTCTACTTTCATTCTTCCAGGAGCATATGAACTACTACTGCACAGGCAGCAGCATTGGTAACCTCATCATGTCTCTGAAACATGAGGAGGCTGAGGGCCAGGAGTTCCTGCGCATCATGCTCAGGTCTGTTCTCTCTTGTCAGGCAAATACAAATGTGGCTACATATAGACATAAGAAAGGTCACTATCAAAACTTAGGTTGCCAAGTCAAAATCAAAGATAGTTGTCACCATAAATGTCCTTCCTTGTTCTGAGCACGATAACTGGAAAAATATATGAGGTACCAAATTGCATTTTGGTTTGTAGCTACATCTAGGTATAAGAAAGGTCAAAGATTGTATTTTCACATCAAAATCCAAGAAGGCTGCCACAATATACATATATAAACCATCCACCCTGATAATCTGAGGATAGACTATGCTTTCTAGTTTTAGTATTGCTTAAAAGTATAGTTTTCTCAAATGATTGTGGTGAACTAAAATGACTATATGGTGGTCAAGGCCACAACTGGCCACCCCCTGGCTCCACCTTTGCACTTGGTGGTTGATAAAGTTGCTCCCTTCACTCAGGATCCAGCACTTGCACTGCAAGAAAAACAAAAACTATCTTTATTCTTATACAAAGTATAATTCCTTTTCCACTTGAATATCTTGCACAAAAAACACTACATTACTACTTTAGCGCTACTTTTTATGGTAATGTGTAAACCCAAGATTTTAATTATTTGCAGTTGAATTTATGTCATTGTGGGCAACACACTTATACTGCCATTGTTCTGGTCATTACGCCCAAAACAGGATATTAGTTCTGGATCCTGATTGGTCACAAATGGATTCCTTTAACCAACAAACTATCTGTCAGTATAAAATCAATCACTCATTATTTGTGTAGCACTTTTTACACAGCATGTGTATCCTATAGGACTGAGCCATCAAATTTATGAGGCCTTTAGGTCTGTCTGTTTAAAGTGTGCAAAAAATGTCATCTTTGATAATATGTTGTCTAACCTGATAAAAAAATAAATATTCACAGTTCAGACAATCAGCATAGACTTCTATTAGGGTTTCACATAATATATTTTGTATATAAATTAACCATTAAATAAAAATAATTATGGGAATTTGAAAAGGTTTTAAGAAACCTACATGAGGTTTGTTTTATCTGATGTGAATAGATGCATCCATTTTTAAGAGAGAGATTTTATGGTTTATTTGATTTAAATGTTGTATTTGTTGTTAAGTTGTTTTGTTAAGTATGTTTTTAAATAACATTTTTTTTTTGTAAATTTATGCTTACTGTTATATTTTTTTAAAGTTTGTTTTGTGAAACTTTATTGATTGTTTTTTTAATCTCAGTGAGTTTCTCCTGGTAAAATAAAGGAAATGAATACCTTTGTCCATCAAGCTGCTTTGAATCTTTTTCTTTCCTCCATTTTTCTATTGTTTTAACTCTTCTTCATATTTTTCTCAGATTAAATTTGAGGCCCAGTGTGTCTTGTCATAATCCCATTCGGTGCCATTTTAATTTAGAACAGAGAATAAACAATGTAATGCTGGGTTTGGGCCTCTGTCTGGGTGTTGCTTATCTCCCTGCAACAGTTGACAGTGACAATGCTAATAATATCACCAGTCACACTTAAATCAGTACCAACCATCTTACTGCATGTCTTTTTGTAGGTGGAGTGTTGTTTCGATAAGACTTGTTAGTGGTTTAACCTAATTTCACACAAACTGGGGTATGGGTTTATATTGGTATCTAAAGTAACAGAAGTCCAAATGATTATTTTATGTAATTACGTTTTAGAGTCATCTTTAAACACAGCTTTTTGCTTTCTTTTTACAGATCAAGGATCAAAACAGTTCATGACAGAATATCTTTAGCTGGCCTCAGCCAGCTGCCCAGCGTACCTCAGATTGCAAAGGTAAGGGGGAACACAAATGGTTCCAAACAACTGTTTCCATGCTGTTACTACATTTCCCATTCACATGTTGGAAAACAAACTAATATCTGCATCTGTGAGTACTGGGTTTGTATGGAGCTCATGTTTTTTTTTTTTTATTCTAAAAGAATAAATAAAGTATCTTGTTGTTCCTGTCACAGAGCAAAGAGAGGAATTTGATAAACCCACTGTCCGTACGTTCGTCTACACCATTGTTATTGTCCTCAGTTGTGGATCATGAAAAGTTCTTAAAAATGAACTTTTGGGCGTTTTTTTTCGGCATTAAGTAAAGTAAATATTTATCTGAATATCATACCATCTCAAAGTCTTGTGCCACAAAGCAGTACTAAGATAAAAAAAAGCCAAAACATATTCAGGAGCAAATATAAAGCTGAACTGCACCAACAAAATATCACAGCTTTGACCCAGGACAGTCAGTGAAATACATCATTAATGCATTAAAATGCTATAATTTAAAACAGAAAAATAATTAGCTTTATAGAACAGGTTTTGCATTTTACAGTTATTTCATGAATCACTGTAGATGTTGTGGTTCATGTCAGGTACATGTGACTCTTTTTCTTTCAGCTTCTGTGCGATGACGCCACGGGGCTAAAGTTCAACCCAGTGCTGTACCCTCGGGTAGGTTTATACTCAACTCCCACTCAAATCACCCCCCCCCCCCACACACACACACACACACACACACACACGCACACACACACACAATTAAAAGCAACTACATCAGGGCTATTGAACTGGTGGCCCGCAGGCCATTTCTGGCATGGGGGTGACTTCAGTCCAGCCCACCAATGAGTTCATTAATTTTTTTTTTCTTTGGGTGGGGGGGTGGGGGTGGGGGGGTCTTGATATGGGTTTTTGGTTTTGGGTTCTGTTTACTGCATTTATGAGTCAATGCAATGAAACAAACAAATTAAAAAGGTAACAGATCATTGTAATACTTGGTTTATTTACATAATGACTTTAATTGCTGTATGTCCGGCCCTTGAGCTGCTGGCTTTCAGAAATTGTGACCCCCCTGAGCAGCTTAGTTGAATAGCCCTGAACTACATCCATCCATTCAGTTCTCAGTGGCAGCAGCTTGAGCAGGGAGGTCCAGACATCTCTTTCCACAGTCACTTTTTCCAGGTCTTCTGGGAGGACTCCAAGATGTTCTCAAACCAGCAGAGACATAAGCTATCCAGCGTGTAGGTCTTGTCCAGTGTCTCCTCCCAGTTTAACATGCTCATAATCCACCCCCACCCCCATCCAGGGGTCATCCTTACCAGATGTTTGAACCACCTCAACTGGCTCGTCTGGATGTCGAGGAGCAGCAGCTCTACTCCGAGTAGAAACCGAGTAGTTTCTCCTGGAGAACTGAACTTCTAACTCTCTCTCTAAGGAAGAGTCCAGCTACCATTCTATCCACAATCTCGTTCTTTCAGTCACTGATCTGAGTTCATGACCATTGATGAGGGTAGGAACATAGACTGACTGGTAAACAAACAAATATATGCTCAGCTTTCTCTTCACCACAACACACTAGCACATACTGTAGAACACAATAATGAGGAAGCCTGTACACTCTGTACAGTGGTGGGCACGGTTCCGCTAATCCGCTAATAGCAGAGCTAACTTTCCATGTAGCGAATTAATGTTTTCACTAACTTTGAAAAACTTTAGCAGAATTAGCTCCTGCTATAGTTAAATCCATTAAATTAAAGTCTGCTAATTTTTTTCAAAGACAGTTCTCCACACAAAAAGTGCTGTCACCAGCAAATGTCACCATGCCAGCAGTGTGTTTTTTTATTTTTTATTTTTTCCCCTCATACCTACTGCAAACAGTCTGACTCATGGTGTCAGTTTACAGCCAATAACATATATTTTTAACATAAATGCCAAACCAGAAGAGGAAAAATATATATACTCAGAAACATTGTCAACAGTCAGAAACACATCACACATAATTCCTACCCAGCATGCTTTGCAATACTCACACTGTCTCTGGGACATGACCCTCTTACACATGTCTTCACACATCTTTAATTTAATACAAACATATTTATGACCCATAGAATATTGATAATGATGTACAGCCACTTTGTAATTAGTTTATAAAAGTAGTTAACCACAAAGAAGATTGCCAAAGTGAGGTCATTCATAGTATATGACGTGGGAGACGTCCGACATACATTGAATGTATCACTTTCCTTTAGCACAGCAGAGTTCTGCTCCATTTCCTTGGTTCTGATGGGCCGGATTAATTTCTGAAAGCTCACCTCTGAACAGGACGTGGATGCTTTACTTGTGATTTATGAACTCTTTTGAGTTGAGTTCACTTACAACGTTATCACATTAGACAGAATGTCAGCAACAGCAGTGTATGATAAAAGTTAGCACTTTAGCATTAGCTTCCGCTAATTTTTAATCTGTTTAGCCTTAGCAAAGCTATTTTTTAGTAGTGAATTGGTGGGTAGAGAAGCTAACTTTTTGAGTAGTTGTGCACCCATCACCCCATCTGTAGATCTCACACTTCATTCAAAATTTTGGGATACTTGAACTCCTCTACTTGAGGCAGCTCCAAGTTTTAACTTTAACATGCTTTGCTTTTAAATATTTACCTTATACAATGTCACCTTTAATTACTTTTGCTGGCAACTCTTCCCCACTCCAATTTCCACACTTTATTAACTTATCAATCCCCTCTGACACCAAACCACAAGAATATCACGTTTTATTTCATTCAGTCACTAATAAACCACTCAATTCTTCAGTCACATTGACGTTCAGGAAGCTAATTATCCAAGAAACAACTTTCCAAAATGAACAGGACAGATCTGCTCCCTTTTTGCTTGGTGGAGGAGTTTGATGGAGAGCCCTTTGAGCTTGTGCCTCAGGGAAGGAAAAATAAACCATCTGTGTCTCTGTGTGCTGAAGACAGCGACAGGACCACCGTCCTCACTGGGGGCCTCGACAGTTTGTCACATATTGGTCTTATGTAACGTGAGCCCAATAAAATCAGCCTTGGAGACATGCTGGAAAGGAGAAAAACATGTTTTTTAATGGTTACAGTGAGCAGAGTGTGTACAGAGCTGAGTAATAACCACTGGGACGCACTTGTTGTTTTTGTGCATGTGCAGGGTTCTCAGCTGATAGTTGCTTATGATGAACATGAGGTGAACAACACATTTAAATTTGGAGCCATCTATCAGAGGTTTGGACAGGTGAGGGTTCCTCCATTTATACTGTATCTCAGTTTAGCTGTATAGATTCATATTTGGTGAGTTTTTGTTCATTTTGTGCATGTGTTTTCCTCTCAGACATCAGAGGAAGAGTTATTTGGGAACAATGAGGAGTCGCCTGCTTTTAAAGAGTTTCTTAGCATCTTAGGGGATACCATTGAACTTCACGACTTTAAAGGGTAAGACATGGAGAACAACTTAATGAGAGGAAACAAAATGAAGGTTGAATTTGTTAACTAATGCACAAAGCTTAAAAAAAACAACAACACTGGAAGTATATAATGGGGTTTAATTACTGTAACCTTGAAGCTAGTTGTCCTGGTGTTTCAAATGGTATGCGTAATGGGAATACACTGCTGAGTCAAACAGATTTGAGGCAAGAAAGTGCCACATGGACATGTAATCAGAGCTCTGGATACTTGTTTCCTTTTGTATACTGTTCCACTTCTTATGTAAAACCTCACTGCTAGACAGAATGGGTAAAAGAAGACAGGCATTTAGCAGACAAATGTTTTTGTTTCAAAGGTGAGCTCCTTCAGAACAAAAGGTGGAGAAAGGCTAGTTTCCTCTGGCTGCATGATACAAGTCACAGAACATGTGCTCTGACGATGTTACAGGTTCCGAGGCGGACTGGACGTGTCTCATGGACAGACGGGGTCTGAATCAGTCTTCACTGTCTTCAGACACAGAGAGATTATGTTTCATGTTTCAACAAAGCTTCCCTTCACTGAGGGCGACGTTCAGCAGGTACCAGGCCAAGTCCTAAAATTTGTTGAGGGAATGCATTTGGCCCTCGACCTTTCATGACAGATTTTCAGATTAAGATCATTTTAGATGATAAAGTCCTTTTGAACTTTTATTATTTGTAAACCTGTTCTTTGACTCGTGCAGCATCTGGTGATTCTTGATCCTTTTTCCTCAGCTCCAAAGAAAAAGACACATAGGAAATGACATTGTGGCGGCAGTCTTCCAGGAAGATCCCACGCCGTTCGTTCCGGACATGATCGCCTCTAATTTCCTTCATGCTTACGTCCTGGTGCAGGCCGAGAACCCCTGCACTGATCACACAACCTACAAGGTGCAAGAGAGATATTTGTGTTGAAATAACACTGCTGCAATATGTGACATAAACATGTGGTACACCATATGTGTCATAAGTTTTATATAGTGTGCAATGTGTGCCCTAAATAATATACAGTATACAATGTGTGCCATAAATAATATACAGTATATAACATGTGCCTTAAATAATATGCAGTATACAATGTGAGCCATAAATAATATACAGTATAAAATATGTGCCATAAATAACATATAGTATGCAATGTGTGCCCTAAAGAATATATAGTATGAAATGTGTGCCATACAGACTTATGGTACACCATATGTGCCAAAAATAATGTGTAGTATACAATGTGTGCCATAAATAATATATATATTATACAATGTGTGCCATAAATAATATATAGAATACAATATGTGCTATAAATATACAATACATACATATACAATATGTGCCATAAATAATATATACAGCAATATACAACGCGTGCCATAAATAACATATGATATAATGTGTGCGATAAACAGCCAGGTGTGGGTCAGTGTTAAAACTGTATTTGGTTGTTGTTCTTTATGTCCACTGAGTAGAAAATCAAAGGTAATGTGTTACAAGCTCTCCTCAGACTTATTTTCCCACTATTAAATAATTGAATACTTTTTGTTTACGTCTACAGGTGTCTGTCACGGCAAGGGAAGATGTCCCTCCTTTTGGGCCCCCTCTCCCCAACCCAGCTGTTTTCAAAAAGGTGAAGTATAGAGCTTATCTTGATGTAGCCGTAAAGTAAATTTTAATATTATCACCAATTTTGTTCTAAAGAAAGTGCATTTTCTGATAAACTACAAGTTTACTTCTGGAAAACTTTCTGGTAAAATGTGTGGAAACTGAGTACTAAATGACTTGTTAACATTAAAGCAAGCTAAATGAAGGCTAAAATAACCAAACTCTAACTATAATTAGCTAAACAAATACCAAAGCAAGAATGAAAAGCAAAACACAAGCTAAAATAAGCCATACAGTTGCACACATACTAAAATTAGCTAAAAAGATGCTAATATTAGCTAAGCTGTAGGTAAAAGGAGCAAAATGGATGCAAAAGCTAAAAATACCAAAGCCCTAGCTATCACAGGGACACATAGAGACAAACGAGACAAACAACCATTCGCTCTGTCATTCACACCTAGGGACAATTTAGAGTTACCAATCAGCCTAACATGTTTTTTGTCTGTGAAAGGAAACGAGTACCTGGAGAAAACCCACGCATGCACAGAGAGAACATGCAAACTCCACACAGAAAGACCCCAGCCAGGATTTGAATCAACGACCTTCTCACTTAGAGGCAGCAGCTCTACTAACTGTTCCACCATGCCACCAGACTCAAATCCCCAAATAAATAAATAAATAAATGAAAAGAGAAACAAACGATGTTGAAATCTTGACAGGAATGAAAGTAGAACAAATGATGTGTATTCAACCAAAGCCAAACACATGGAGCACACCTGAGTGTCTTTGAATGTGGTGTGAAACCAGTCTGAGACCAGCCACAGATTAAAATGTGTGAATATTGGTGTTTAAATAAGAAGACATTCTGAAGGTGACTCAACGTAAACAAGTGGTACGCTGCTGTCCCCCACCACTGAGAGATTTCAATAGTGAATATTTGTAGTTTTTGAGGATAGTTTTTTTTTTTTTTGGGGGGGGGGGGGGGGAACTGGAATTGAAAAGGGAATGCAAGTTAGCCTAGTTGTTGTTCAAATAGAAAAGATTTCACTGTGAAGAAAAAGATAGTTTTACATGTCCCAGGCAATGGACCTGTAAGGGACCAGAGTGATGAATCTTGGCAAGTGGAGGGTGCAATTTTATACACAACCAGGCAAAATGGTGGAGACAGAGGGTGGCCAATGGTGGCCTTGGCCCCCATAGATTATTCAGTCACCCCACCTGCCACTAAAATCAACTGAGAAAACTATACTTTAATCAATGCAAAACGAGAAAGCATAGAAAGCATGGGGGAGTGGTGGCGCAGAGGTTAGGAGATGGGCTTGTGATCGGAGAGTCGCAGGTTCAACTCCCGGTACGTCAACATCAAAATGTGGGTGAAAAAGGTGGAACACCCACACCTCCCTCTATCCTCATTTGCCCCACTCTGGGCCCCCGAGCAAGGCCCTTAACCCCCACCATCTGCTCCCTAAACAGGTCTCTCCTGAAAATGAGTTCTCATGCTCATTGAGACTACGTGTATAAATAAAGGTTAAATGAAAAAAAAGTTAAATATATAGTGTATATATATATATATATATATATATATATATAGTCAAATTATAGGGGGTGGTTGATGTACATGGTGGCATCTTGTCTTTTGACATGTCAACACAATTTTTGACAGTGACCTTTATGCAATCACACACCAAAATAGAATTCAGTATCTCACTTATTTTCCAATTTATCCAGCTCACAAAACAGACAGACATTTATGGCAACAGCCATTTTGGATTTTGACATGGCAACCCAGTTTTTGAAAGAAACATGTATGTCTGGATGCTGCCACACACCAAAATGGAAGTGAGTATCTCACTTGTTTTTCAAGGTATCATGCTCACAACATGGCCGAACAGACAGATGTATAGGCAGAGGGTATTTCCATTTGTGCCTCTTAGCTCTGTGACGATGGACAATGAGCAACACTGATCTCTGAGCAAGTACCTAAAAATAGCTGCATTAAGATGCTTTGTTTCAGGAGATCATCTTAGGTAGAAATAAATCAGGTGTTAAGGTGTACTAGGAGATCAGGAAGCCTTTGACACATCAGCAGTAATAAATTTTGTTCTGGTAAAGGTCACCCTTCCTCATTTCTTCCTCCTCCGCCTGTTTTCTTGCTCGTTGTCTAACTCTCCTCCTTTTCTGTGCCATTGTTTTTAGGGTCCAGAGTTTCGGGAGTTCCTGCTGACAAAGCTGATCAATGCTGAAAACGCCTGCTACAAATCGGACAAATTTGCCAAACTAGAGGTGACGCATGCCGCGCTCAAACACCACGTTTTCAGCTTCATCCAAACATGCATTTTCCTAAAACGACCCTTGAACAATTTTTCAGGGGCGCACGCGAGCAGCGCTGCTGGACAACCTCCACGACGAGCTGCACAGACAGAGCCAGGCCGTGCTGGGCTTTGGACAGGCAGGGGACGAGGACAAGCTGGAGAACGGGGGACACGGGGGACTGTTGGAATCCTTCAAGGTGAACACGAACTCGGAGAAAAAGTACATGGGGCAATCTTTCCTCAGCTCTCTGACATTTATTTGATCACCGTCATTATAGCAGCGGATCAGCGAAATGCCACAGGTCTGCAGGATGACTTCAAGTGTAAAAACCTGTGTTTTTGATGTGTCCGCTACTTGATATTTCCTGTCCTTCCCCACCTTTTTCCATCCCTCTTGACTCTTTATTGGGCTTCCATTTTCTCATTTTATCACCTATACATTAGTTGACATTAACAGGACCTTTAGGGTGTGTATTTCCTGTCGTGTGTGCTGGTGGGACGTGATCAAATGTGTGAACACTGTGATAATTTGATTCTCTTGCTCTTTGCAGGTATTTTGGACAGATTTTCTGCAGACAGTTCCAGGGGGGGCTGTTCTCATTGCTCTCACTGCTCTCGCTGTGTATTACCTTTCTGTGTTACTGTGAATGAAAGAGAAGATAATAAAGATTATTCTGTGAGCTGTCGTTTGTGTCCATGCTTTTCCAAGAACTTGAGATTTTTTATCTGTAGCTGAAGGCAAAAAGTACATAAGCTTTTAGTTTAAATACCACTTTAAAGATTATTATAAGAATGACTGAATGATTAAGAAAATTCGTATTTAGACACTAAGCGATAAATGTGACACATGCTTTTCATCCCATTCAGATTTTGCTTCTTCCTTAGAGAATGGCCCCCTCTGGTGGATGCAGCCTTGTCATGACGTCTAGGATTCATGAAATTCAAGAAAATGTCCCCCCTTTTTACACTCACCATGCTTTCTGTTACTTTGTGTTCTTTACTCCCACTAACTTCCCCTTCTGTCTACTTTTTCCATCCTCGCCCTCCTCCTGCTTTCAGAGAGCCATGAGGGTCAGGAGCCATTCTATGGAGACCATGGTGGGGTCTCACCGTCACCGGAGCCCAGGGGTTGGAGGAGGGGTCCTGGCCGGCCTCAGTGGTGGAGGACTGCCTCAGAGCACAAGTGAATGCACCAAAAGCACCTTCACAGTGAGTAAACCACAGGAGGAACCAAAACAGCTTCAACCAAAACACTGATACAGTTTGATTCTAGAGAAATTGCATTTTCTGCAGAAGTACAGTGTGGATACTTAATGCTAAATAACTTCTTAAAGTTAAAAAAATCAAAACAGAGGCTAAAATGAGCAGGATACTAGCTAAAATTAATTAAATGGATGCTAAAGCTAAAAAAGAAATGATCAGAACAATGGCTAAAATTAGTAAAACATCCATCTGTTACCGCTTCTTCTTTTTCGGGTCACAGGAGTCACTGGTGCCCATTTCCAGCAGTCACTGAGAGGCAGGGACACCCTGGACAGGTCTCCAGTCCATCACAGGGACAAACGAGACAAACAACTATTCACTCTCTCACTCACACCTAAAAACAATTTAGAGTTACCAATCAACCTAACATGCGTTTTTGGTCTGTGGGAGGAAACTGGAGTACCTGGAGAAAACCCACACATGCACAGAGAGAACATGAAAACTCCACCCAGAAAGGCTCCCGGACTGGGGTTTTAACCAGCAACCTTCTCGCTGAGAGGCAGTGGCTCTACCGGTTGCGCCACCGTGCTGCACCATTTGACTATCTTGCACCAAAAATATTAAGGTTTACTTCATTCTCTGTTCAATTCCTGTCCAGAAAAACACTCTTAAACCACAAACATTCACAATTTACGCCCCTCTGCAACGGAGGACATCAGCATGCTTGTTGATTTTATTTATTTTTTAATATTCAATGTTTATTTTTTTGTTTTCTTTCACTTCATGTTTTATTTTTATGTTTTATTCTTGTAAAACATGCCTAATTTTATAATCTGTGATCTTCAGCCTCCTGTTCTCTCAGCCAAGTCTCCTCTGAAGAGTCCGGTGAAACGGCGCTCTGGCCTTTTCCCTCGCCTTCACTCCAGCACAGAATCCCCATCAGAAAAACACACACGCAGGTGAGTGTCAGGATTACACTTACATTAAATATGTTTTAATGCCTATAGAGGGATTCTTGTTTTCATTTCATTCTTCCAAGCAGCGACCAGAAGATAGCCGAAACGTGCCCACATTCCCAGGAAGTGAGATCAGAGACGTCGTCCAATCCCAGCTCACCTGAGATCTGCCCCAACAAAGAGAGGTGGGCCAGAGACTGGAGGGTCGTTTAATAAGTCATTCAGTCTTTTGCAAAAGCTCTAAGGTAAATAGAAAAGTTTGTTTTAACTTCTCTAGTGTTTTTATTTCCCCCCATTAGGCTGTTCATGAGGACGAAGGAGTGCAGCAGCAGCAGCAGCTGCAGGCCCAACATCTCTCGATCTTCATCCAGCACCAGCAGCTTCAGCAGCACCACAGGAGAAACTGAACCCCTGGAGGAGCTGGAGACAGTGAGTTTGGTTTGAAAAAAATAAAACACTTTTTTGCTGTTGGGGGGAAAAAAGTCAAGAAATTGGAACAAGTTCTTGGTGACGCTGAAGCTTTTATGGCTCAAATGCTCCATAATTACTAAGGAGATATCAGCAAATAATTATGACCATTACAGCTCTTCATGCTCGCCCTGCTTCAGATGAGACAACTCCATGTTAGGTTAGTTCATCTCATGAGAACATTGCTGCTTTTTGTGTTTAACCTTAGACTAGTTTTCAAAGAAGCACCGTTTGTTGATAAAATGCTAACTCGACTGCTTAAATGTCAAAGAAAAGGCTTAAACCTGGAATAACATGCCTCAGTTAAGTACACTAAATGTTTTAATAGGTTTTACTTAACCTATTAGTGCATTGTTTCTTTGCTTTAAAAGACTGAAATGTACTCTGTTTTGATGAAAGATTCTGCCTGACTCACTGATAAAAACAAACTGTTAGGCCAGGGCTATTCAACTGGCGGCCCACGGGCCATTTCTGGCCCGCGGGTGACTTCAGTCCGGCCCACTTCATAAATTATTTTTTATTTTTTTGTTCTAGGTTTGGGGTTCTGTTTATTGCATTTATGATCCAATGCAATAAAATAAAATGAAAAGGTAACAGATCATTGTAAACTTTGGTTTATTTACAGAATGATTTTAATCACTGGATGTCCGACCCCCGAGCTGTTGGACTTCAGAAACTGTGCCCCCCAAGCAATTTTGTTGAATAGCCCTGTGTTAGGCACTCAGCAGAAAGGCTGGTCTGATTTGAACGTAGTTTTGATATCAGTATTTGCTTCCGTGTGCTGAATCCTAGTGCAGGAAAATGAGGCGAGGCGCCAGTTAAAGGAAAAACTAACAGTTTATTTTACTAAACAAAACAAAATGTTGGCGGGACAGCAGACTTTCCTTTAAGGAGGTGAGAGGGATGCAGAAACATGAAGCCTTAGACAGGACAATCCAGAGACACTGACAAGACACCAAGGAGCAGAATAAGGTGAAATGACTGGCACCTGCAGTGATTAGATTGACCACAGGTGAGACAGTGCTGGCACACACAGAGAAACACTGAGGGGTGACAGGCAAACATGAGGAAAACACAACCTGCAAGACCAGAAAGTCCCCTTCTTTAATGCTGTTATTGCCAGTATCACTCAGCCCTCTGTGAATAGCAAGCTGCCATTAAGTTGCTAACGAAAAACTGTTCGGCTGATTTTCCGCCTTGATCATGTGAACAGCTAGTTCTGGATGTCAACAACAAACTGGTTGATCCACTATGAGAAGGTGCTGCTTATAAAACTGAGTTTACTGCAGCTCAATCAGACGGACCAAGTATTTTGGATAAAAGACGAAACGTTTCAACAAGTTTTTATTTTATTTTATTTTATTTTATCCGTCCAGAGGACCTGACTTAACTTTGTTAGATGGTATTAAAATGTTTATCTTCTTTTTTTACTTTTAAACTTTTTTAAAGTTTTGTTTTTGTTTGTAGTCTCTCTTTACGTCCTCCGTGCCAATTTGTTTCCCACTCTTTCCCCCTTTCAGCTCAGCCATCCTTTTCTCGCCTCCTCCTCTGCCTTCAGCCCCTCCTTCAGCGCTGACAGCCAGGGCTCAGGTGCGCCGGTCATCATGTGCCGCAGTCCAACAGGTAACCTCCACATTCAAATCTCACCAAGAAGGAAGGACGCCTCGCAGATGGTAGAACTGTTCTTATTTGTTTTTGTCCTTTATTTTATCACCCCCCACTGGGTTCTGCAGATGGGAAGAGTAAAACATCTCCGAGGTCAAACTTGAAGTTCCGCTTTGACAAAATGAGCCACTCGTCCACAACAGTAAGTTTTAAACTTAATCCTACTTTTATTGTCCCACGTTACAGAGTGAAAACAGGGTATTGATTGTGTCTGTCCGTCCATCTGTGCATGCTGTGAGCTAAGATAATACAGACTTGCATTTTGGTGTGTGGCTCTAGGCGCAATAAAGGTTTGTTTTAATAATTGGGTTGCCACATCAAAATCGAAAATGGCCACCACGATCATTTGTGAAAATTAAGTTTTCTAGATTTTATACTGATTGAAAGTTGTTTATTTCAGCTGCTCCCTTCTGCAGGGGTTGCATAAAAGATTTGGCAACAATTTACACTGGATGTCCTACTGGCCACAACCTGGCCTCAAACCAGCGACCCCAGAATTACAAGGTCGCGGCATTTAACCTTTGAGCTACCACAGCCCCAGATTGCTCAAAAGTATAGTTTCTTCAAATTACGGATCAAAAATAAACAATGTCCCAGCTTCTATTTTTATTTTGTAGCAACATATAGGTGTCAGAAAGGTCACTGTAGAAAATTGGGTGGCCACGTCAAAATTCAAGATGGCCACCAGCATATATGTATGTAAACAAATTATATGAGAAAAATATTTTTTCTACTTTTTAATTTTGCTCAAAAGTATAATTTCCTCAAATGATTGAGGTGGCCAACAATATATGGTGGGCAAGTCCACCATTGGCCACCCCCTGGCTCCGCCCCTGGTGGTGGATTAAATTGCTCCCTCCACTCGCCAGCATCTGTCACTTTCATTCATTCAACCTTTAATTATACAGATTAATCCCATTGAGCCTCGGGGACTCATTTACAAGAGAGACCTGATTTTAACAAAGCGTGATGACGGATGCATGCAAATTGAGAACAGCGTGAAAATAAAATGGCATTAAAAATGTAACAAAAACAGCTAGGTTGTAAGGTGATGTAAAAAACAAAAAACAAGAACAGGTCTGCATTCACTCTGCACTACCTCGAACATGGAAAACAAAACTACCTCTGTTCTTCTACACAGTAGAAGGAGGAGGTAACTCCTATTGACTTCAATAAATTGCACCAACAATTAATATTTACTTGCAATCCCTGTTCAATTCCAATCCAGATAAACACCCATCTCTAAAACTACAAACATTCACTATCCAAATCTGTCAGTGAAGGGGGACATCGGTGCACCGCTTGTTTTCTTGTTGCGAAGCGTCTTTGCAGACCAGCACTTTAAAATACAGCAAAAATTACAGAGTTAGTGTCTTCATTGCTTCGTTTCAGTGTAAGCTCAGTCCTTCAACCCACCTCCCCGTTCTCTCTTCTCTTTTACAGTCTGAGTAGCTTGGAGGAATGACCGAAAAAGAGGAACCAAACTTCGTCAATGAAGGAGCTGAAGAGACACGGCAACAACCATCACACAGTCATCGTAGAACCCTTCTAACTAAACGCAGAGGATAACCTGACCACAAGAGGCACCACAAGCCTCACACTTTAAACGTACTGATAAAACTGTGAGTGTCATGCAACGAATAGCAGCCAAAGTGTCGACTTTCTTTAGCTGCGCTCTTATCGATGTTCTTGTCGCAGCATGGCTGTAATACTGTGAGTGCAGGCTGAGCTCTGCTTCTTCCTCATACTCTATTCATGTAGTTTAAGGCCGAACTGTTAGTCTGAGGAAAACAAATTACAGGCAGTGGGATGTTTCGTTTCTATCTGTACATGGTACGTCTGTAAGCAGTTCCTCTTTTGCTTAAAAGAAGAAATAAAACCGAAGCCGAGAGAGACAGCCATAGATGCACAGGAACCTAACGCGCGGCAGACTCCCAGCTGCAAGGTCTCAAAGGTGGCATCACTGGAGGTCCTTTCTTCTTGCCTGTGGAACCTGAACTTGTTCTTTGTGAATAGCTTTTCTAGGAAGCCATTCTAATTTTGGAGATGCTTTTGTAACCTTGTTAGCTGCTGCGTTGTGTCCACAGCACTGCAAAGACCACATGCCTCCTCCTAGCACAGCGTTCTCTGTATCTGTAACCTTAACGCCCCGGTTAGACTGTTCATGTGGGGGCCCAACGCAGGAGACACTGCCAGCACATATCGCCACTAGCTTATTTTAGCCAAAGCTGCGCCTTACAATCTATCAAAGGCCTCTCTTCCCTCTGCTCGTGTGTTTGGTCTCTCATGCGCCTCTCACTGTGTGAGAAGATGAGAGGCTCCTGGTTCTGGTTACAGCTCAGCTGTGGGTAGCTAACAACACCCACAGTAGCTGAAAGAAAAAAAAAGCACTTACTAAAACATTTCACCTCCCATTGAAGCTTGTTAGCTCAGTGTTTCTGCACATGTGTTTGGCGGCACTTCAGAACAGGGAAGTCTGTCCAGGGTTGTCAAGGTTCCCAAAACAGGAGCTGATGAAAATGACTTGAAACAAATGCTTCAGGTTCCAGAGAACCTCTGAACCACCTTTTCAAAAAGCACATTGAATGTGAATTTCCAGCTTCTTGCTTTGGTTGTATTTTGTGTTCGAAGCCTTGCTGGTTAGTATTACAAGGCCTATCTTAAATCATGAAGCTGGTTTCTTCTGAGCACATCAAGCCATTGGTTGATTGGTTGGTGTTGCTCCGAAAGAAGCAAACTGTGCAGAGAACTGGCGGCTTAATACTATGTGAGGTTTTAAAGGCTCAAATGAGTAAAATTATAGCAATTATTTATTTATTTTTAGGAATGGTGGAACATTTACAAAGATCAGTCACAAAGTTTGACCATATTGAAAAGGAATTCTGTGTAAAAGTCATAAAAACTATCTTACCTGTTGTATATGATTTCTTGAACAACCTGTTTGGAGAAAAGTGCTTACACTGAATAGTACTGTAATGGCTATGACCACAGATTAGACCAAAGAGGATTACTGCTCTCTTAAAATAGCTCAGATTTCCAAGATTTATTTTTTGTTTTTTATATATTAACCTTTATTTAACCAAGAAAACCCAACTGAGATCTCTTTCAAGGGAAGCCAGGACCTGAAGACAGCTTAACGTGCATGTTTTGGGACTGTGGGAGGAAACCGGAGTACTCGGAGAAAACTCATACAAACATGAGGAGAACATGCAAACTCCACACAGAAAGACAGATCCAAACCGGTGATTGAACCAAGGACCTTTTGTCTGTGAGGCAACAGTGTTAACCACTAAGCCATCGTGCTGCTGTTATATTCATGGAAGTTCATGAGAAGGCTAGAACTTTAACCTCAGCCAATTTTGTATTTTACAGTTATTTTGGCAATAATTTAAAATAATTGTTTGTCAAATGTGATCCAGAAGTGCTGTCTGTTGCAATGGTTAGTTGTTTTATTTACCTCTCACAGTACACAACTATAGACATCTGACCGGAACCTGGAAGTTGAAGCTGGAACGAGACCAACCTTCTGTGCAGGCTGGTTCCTGTACATGTTTTAAATCTCACCCTCGCCACATAAACAAACGTAACGATGTCTTTAGTAAACAAATAACACCCCAGATCTGTATTTTCAGGTGTTGACACTTCATGCACTTCTTATCAGGGACAGCTGATATAAACGGGCCAGCTGAGCTAAACCCATTTACAATAACAAAAAGAAAATTACAGACAAACGATGCTTAAACATATTGTTTCACATTGTGATGAAGTCTAGAACAGAATTAGCGCCAATCAAAATCTCCACCAGCTGCCACTGTTTCTAACCTTGCTGCTGTTTGCTCAGATATTTATTTTTAACAACGTTTAGGTCTAATAAAGTATTTAGCAGTTTAAAACTGCCCATAATACACCATGATTGCGTGCTGGAGAGTAAATGTGACCTAGTTTGCAGACTCTGGTTACAAAAATACACATGGCAGCTTCCTTAAACCTGGTCCTGCTTGTTTCAGTCCCTAGCAAAAACAAGGCGGGGGCATAATTTGTTGAGTTTAGATTATTTACGCTCGTAAATAACCATGCAGTTCCAAGCGAATAACAGTGTAATGCAAAATAAACGTTTTATAAAATTCTGTTGGCATGGGTTGTTGTAAAACCTTGAAGATTCGAGCCGTTTGGGCCAGCAGCTATCTATTTTGATCTCAGAGTAGCCGTTAGCTCAGGGCTATTCAACAAAATTGCTCGGGGGGGCCACAGTTTCTGAAAGCAAACAGCTCGGGGGCCTGACATCCAACGATTAAAATCATTATGTAAATAAAGTTTACGATTATCTGTTACTTTTTAAAGTTGTTTATTTTATTGCATTGAAAAAATGCAATAAACAAAACCCAGTTGAATGTCCCTGTGTTAGCTCATCAGTGTGGAATATAAACTCTGTTTCTCCAAACTGAAATTGTTCAAGAAGCTATTAATAACAGGTAAGATAAAACATTTACACAGAAACGCATAGCTGAACTTTCACTTTAAAGACTTTAGCTTCTGGTGTATCTGGTCTAGTGAGTTGAGGATACAGAAAACCCTCAGCTGGATGATGATGATCTTGTGAAAGAAGCAGGGACAGGAATCTTCTGGACAGAAGCAGGATCTTTTAGACATCACTGAGTTTGTCGTACCAACGTCCAAATTGCCCTGCAGCTTTTTCTCTGTTGGTATGCTTTATTCCTAAATGAAGACTTTTTTTTTTTTTTTGCATTGATGTCATGTAAAAATGTTGCTGCAGAGTGTGGTAATAAATTAGTCAAATAATTAAGAGATTTATTAATTTAAGAGATGTCTAAATAAGTATATGTATATTTGGTTCTGTAATGTGCCACTGAGAATTTATTCTACAATAAAATGTATTTTGTGTCATTTGTGGTGACTTTCTTGCATGTTGTGCAAGCAGAGCATGTGTTTTTCTTTTTATAAGTGGATATACTTTATTGCTGAAAAGAAAATTTAATACCAGAGAAACTAATTGATTTGTTCAGGAATTTTGTGTTTGTGTGGTAACATCCAGAAGTTAATTTCACAAATTAACACGTGCAGTTTAGATTAAATTTCACCTTAACAATTGCACAACTGTTATCTCTCTCTCTCTCTCTCTCTCTCTCTCTCTCAATATATATATATATATATATATATATAGTCCTGTGTAGGTTTTTGACCCTTTTTGTCTTAAGTGTTTCCACAAAAAATCTGAAATTTAAGAAAGTGCCAAAAATACAAACATGCAACTCAGAATTTATTTAAGTTAGATTAAATCAGGTAGAATTGTTTTTTAAGTGTTTTCATACACTCATTAAAAAGCAGGTGTAATATGTATAGTCTCCATCCGTTCATAAACTTTTTCTTGTCTCACCCAAGGTCAAGTTTGCAAATCAAGGTCACAGTAAAAACAGAGTCTTTGTTTGTCCTGACCATAACTTCATATTCGCTTAAGATAATTGAATAAAACTTGATTCATTAAACCTTTATTTAGACAGGTTAATCCCATTGAGCCTCGAGGACTCATTTACAAGAGAGACTTGATGTTTTTAAAATTTTTAAAACAAAGAATGATGACAACAGTGGACAACAACGACAACTATAGACAATCATAAAAGATGCGAACAAATTGTAATTTTTTTAACAAGTTAAAATAAAATGGCAACCAAAAGAACAATCAAAAGGAAAAGCAGCGAAAAAAACAGCTAAAATGTAAAGCGATAAACATCATCACTAGATGGAGTGTCGCCAGGGCTCAATTTGAGCCAGAACAGGATCTGGGCACCCTCTTATTTTGACAGGGTGCATTCTGGTAAGTGTTTGCATGGATCCAGTGACTCTCAGGCTTACTAATAATAAAGTTATGAACAAATATGACTGCCTTGAATGAATAAAACTTATATTGGATATGTAAACTGAAGTAATTACATAAACACTAATTTTAAACACAACAGCCACTTTCGAGCATATGAGCTGCCTCTTCAAGCAGCATTTCCATCTCTACCTTTAAAAAACATCTCGGCCCCTAAAAGTGAGGTGGGGGTGAGTGCTGATCTAACCAGGCAGTTGTATGTGGGCAGGAGCTCACAGGCAGCTGCAGGCAGGCGCCTGGATGTTCCACATGTGGAGTCGGACAACGAGAAAGGACATTGTCAGGCTCGAAACAATCAAGTGGGGGGGGGGGGGCTTAGTGAAGTTGGCCCCACCTTCTTCAAATCTATCAAAACTGGTGTTGAATGTTTGTTCTACGTTTGTGCAGCAAAAAATTTTGTTTGTGCAGCTATCATTTTAAAGAAATAATTAATAACTATTTCCAGAGGTCAAAAGTACAAAAGTACAGTGTGTTTGCTAGCACCCCCTGGTGATCAGAAACTGCACAGACCAGCACAGACGTTTGACAACAATTTTGTTAGATTTGAAGAAGGTGGTGGTTAGGTGTGTGTGTGTGTGGGGAGGGCACAACTTTACTCAGGTCTTAAAATACACCAAAATGCAGAAAATTGCATCTACTTTATTCAAAAATTTCAGGGGGAGGATGCCCAGACCCCCCCCCCCCCCCCCCACACACACACACACACGCACACACAGCACCACCACCACCGCTGGCCCGCCTGCTATTTGCGTTCTAGCATCGATCTGTTTACAAATTAAGCCCTGAGTATCACATACACTTTCCATCACCCCAGCTCCAAAGTCAAGGATGCATAAGATCTTTGCTTGTCCGGACCATTGCTACAGATCGCTGTGTTGCTGTAAATCAGAAATCAGTTTGTTTGACAAACGTTTAATATGCCGTACTCTTGGTATATTAATTCTTCACTGAAAACATTTTTTTGTTGCTGCTGTTGTTGGGTCAAGAAAATCGGACAGACGAGTAGACGGTGGACTGAACCGGCTCTCTCATGGCTCCTTGTCGCCTCAGTGCATCCTGGGAAATGTCTGCATACACTAACTGTAATAACATTGGAGATTAGGTCAAAGTTAGTGAAACATAGAAGTTAAAATTCACAGCAGACAGAATCAAATGGGTCCCAGTGATGCTGAACATTCACCCACCTCCATCTTTGGCTGAGATTTGGATGGTACTGAAAATTTAAACACAGAAAATAATTATTTTTTTATTCCAACAGTGCGACAGTAAAGTTTTTTGCTGCCAGATTTCAGGCAAAAGAAGAGAATAATTACAGGTACCTTTATGAGAGGGAGTGGTGTGTTTCTTTGGGACAGGAAGCCGAGGCAGAGGCTCTGGAGGCTGATGGGATCCATCTTCCTGTACAACTGCACATTTGATCTGTATACTGGGACGTGCCTGAGGCTTGACCTTTGAACTCAAGCAGCGAGCCAGTCCCAGAATGACAGGAAGACAAAGGGAAGCTCCAGCACAGACTAAAACCCTGTGCAAGACATTTCTCTGAACGGGGACCACTGGATGATCCGCAAGAACAGAAGAAGAAGAACAATCTACTCAAATGTCAGGAATTACTTAATATGTCGATACGTGACCGTATGTACCTTTTGTGGCGTTCAGGTGCATCCAGTGGCCTTCGTCACTGCTTCCATCATACCATGTCACACTGCATTTGTACATCCCAACGTCTGACTGACTGACGCTCACAATGATTAAGTTTAACTGGGTTTCCTTCTCTGACAGCGTCACACGGGTGAAATGGTGTGTCGCCCTTTCTTCAACAGAGCCAGATGTCACATCCGTCAACATTTTAGACTTCCAGTTCCCCGTCCAGTTTCCTTTACAGTGTTGGACTACACAGGACAGCGTCAAACTGTCCCCTTCAGGAACATAAAATGTCTTACTTTTCCCTAAAATGCCGTGGAAGCATTGTTCAGCGTGAAGACCTAAAATAAGGAAAGTCCGATCAGCTTCAGTCAAGAAAAATTACTCAAACAAGACACTTAATACTTTTAGAGAAAATTGTCATTATCAGACAAAAATCCAACTATTTTTGTTTTTAAAAAGGGTTTGAAATAAGCAACAACTTCCATGTGAAATAAAACAGTTTAACAGACATAGATGGCAACATAGATTGAAGAACAATAAATGTACAACACCAGTTTACTGCAATTCACCCAACTTAAATTTAGGGGGAAACAACGTATTAGATAAACTTACTTGACCTTTTTCCTTAAAGTTAAGTTTAACTTAATTAAAACAGACCAGGCAAGTTCCTCAAACATAAAACACTGTTTGGATAAAAATGTATTTAAAAGTAAAATCCACAGTTTTAATGAGTCAAAACCTACGTACCGAGCTGAAAGAGACAGAAACAGCTGATAGCTTTGAAGAGATAATCTTTCATGTCTGGTCAAAGACGGTCACAGGTCGCTCACACTTCCCCTTCTGGATCAAGACTGGATATTGTGGTTATTGGACGTTGTAGAACCCTGTTTGTTCACACTGTACACATTTAGTTTTCCTACGTTCTGTGATCAAACCTGAGTTATTCTGCTGATGTTCTTCAGCTGGAGTTAAAGGAAGGAAGTGACCCACTAAGTCACCCCTCCTTTACACACACACACACACACACACACACACACACACACACACACACACGTCTGGAGGTTCACATGCTAGATGACAGGAAAACAGTTTCAAGAACAGGAATTTGAACTTTCCAATAGGAAGGGTGCCAAATTCAAGGAACTGTAAACCTCAGTAAGTAACTTGTTCCACTTTTGTATGTCAGCACATGAGACTTAAAGTACTCTTATCACCATTCTGCTTAAAATTATACATCAAAACTGTTGGTTACATTCAGTGGTGGGACGTAACAAAGTGCAAGTATACTTTCTTACTGTACTTAAGTACATTTTTCATGTACTTAAGTAGAATTAAGTGTGGGTACTTTTCACTTTTACTTCACTACATTTACATTATCTGTACTTTCTACTACAATACATTTCTATAATGCATTATGTTACACGTTACATTCACACTGCGTTTTTTTTATTTTTTATTTGTTCGTTAGTTTGAAAGTAATCAATGGCGAGAGGGGAATTGGTTCATTAAATCACTGTAAAGTGGGCAGGTAACGTTAGACCCACCTTCAAGAAGAGCTGGGCCAACGACATATATTCTAGTATATATATATATATATATATAT